TTCCCCCCCTTTTCCAGTGGGTGCCTTACCTCCCTTGGGCTGGGCCAGCTGGTGGTCGGCCTGCTTTGTCTCTGCCGCTTGCCTGCTACGCCTCGGCCAGCGCAGGGGGCGGAACCACGCATGTGCGGCGCTCCCGGGCAGGGAAAGTCCTTGACTTACGACCGGTTGGGTAGTCCTCAACTTATGACCGGTTTAGTCCTCGACTTACGACCGGTTTAGTCCTCGACTTACGACCGGTTGGGGTCGCGGCATTAAAAAGGTTGAGAACCACTGATATAGCCCCATAATTTTAATGCAAATCCATTTTTGCGGTGGGCAAAAACAGTCTACCATATTGAGCTTCATTAATATGACAAAGGCACATGTTTGATGCAGCTTCTGTATCTTTTAGACAACAGTTGAATCATAAAATAATGGGATCAGTGTTCCATTTTTCACTCACTCTTATTGCTAATTTTAATTTAAAATTCACATGAAGTTATGCTGTTCTTTTTAACAAAAAAAATCTCTTATTTGCTGATAATTCTAAATGGCCTATTTCTTGTTGTCGTGACAAGACTTCTTTCTCCAAAAGAAGACATTTTAGGAACATAAGAGTTAGGTCATATTTAAGTAATTAACAGTTGTATTAAGTAGTAGTAATGGTTTTTTTCAAGTGTCTTCATTACTTTAAAGTAGGGAAAAAATAAGTGGATTACATGTGTTAAATTGAAGTAAGCAACAGCAACAAAAATGCAACCTTTCTAACATTTTCTTCTCGTTGTAACTATTTATTGAAGTTATTGACCCCTCATCTTTTAAACATTCCAAACTTTTTTTCTGATACATTAGAACATTCCTCAATAATAAACTAATGAACTTCCAAATTCAACTACGTAGTCGATCTTTCATCTGAATGTATATCTTTTTTTTCTTTTTATCTTATCAAAGAATTGAAATCCAGTTATAAAATTTAGGAGTCTGGAACAATTTCAGTAACAATATTGTCTATAACATAAAATGACTCCATGGCCTACAGGAATTCTCCCAAAAGCCCACCAATGGTAGCATGTGATCTCCTGTACAATCCTTGAGCCAAATTTGGATTCTCAGCTTAAAGGACAATATAGATACTACAACCTAAATTTAGGTGGACTCCTAAATATTTTATCAACCTAGGAAAAAATTGTCTGAGCTCGTTCTAACTTGTCTTCCATACAATTGTAACATTCTTTAACATTTTGTTAACATAAAACTATTTATGAACTCTGTTGTATCTTTATTTGAGGTAGCTAGGCTTTGTTGTTTTTTCCCCTTAACCTATGAAACAGAATAAAAACAATTACAGACAACCCAGAAATAAAGAACCAGACACACGGAAAGCTGAATTTAAGGCATATCATTTGTCTATCAAGCCAAATACGGGCAGTAACTGCTTTAAGTAGGAATTTCCCAGCTCTAACTTGGTGGAATTTAAAATGTCTAAAGTTGAAGTTCAGCATTATTTTTTGTGGGCCATCCAAAGCCCAGCCTATTTACATTCCAAAGGGCATTATCTTATACAAATAGGAAAAAAAGAATTGTGGCTACTGCTAAACCATCAAATAACAATGTTTTTATGGACCGTGGAAACTAACACTATTCTTGCTGGCTTGCATGTTGCATGGTGATAGATATTTTTTTTCATGTCCATTGAAAATGCAGAGCTACATGATACTTTGTTTGGAAATATTCTTCAACAGCATTTCCTATCCATTATAATTTCTCATATTTTGTTGAACATATTTTTAGGGCTCTTTTAATAAAGTTCATGGCTGAAACTTGTAGAATAGGTGATTTATTAATTTGTAATTTTTGTGCAACAGAATGGAATATCAAAGGCTTGAGAGTAAATGATATTTATTAAAACTAATTCCTGAAGACTTCTGCTAAGTAATGTCTCAAAAAAACAGACTAAAAGCCATGACTAAGTAGCAGGCAAATTTCTCAAAGACTACCTATCTTCATTTCTGTAAGAGTTATTTCATTTTGATAAATTTTACTTTTGTGTGAAATGCATTTTTTTAAGTTTGATGTTATAATAGACCATTTTGGTATAAAATTTGTATTTAATTCCCCCCCCAATGTACAGTACATAAATAAACATATACATTTTTAAAAAATTTTTTAAAATTATAATGATAAAATATACACTAACATTAAATAACTTTTCCATTCTTGTATTTGCATGTGTAGATATTAACATTATATTGTATAAATTTTTAAAATGTAAAATATTTTTTAAAAAGGAACTAAATAATTCAATTCTATAAGCTTCATATACTCTAAACCACATCTGTTTCTGACATGAGCTGTTTATAGTAAACAAAGTATATTTTTTTAAAAAAAATTCAATTATAGTTCTAAAAATATGGCTATCTGTTTTAATTGGAATGCAATGTGTTAATCAGTTGTAGATGGTTCTTTAAAATATATTTTAGCTGTTCAGTTATTAAATTATTTTACTGAAATATGATAGTAAGATTCTTCTAAGAATTAGGATAATAGTAGATATACTACAATTTTAGGAATTATACATATTGAAATTTAACAGTGTCTATTGAATGTATTGTATAAGTATTATTGGTTGATAGTTTTGAAATTAGAACTATTTTTTCATAATTATTCTTAATGTAAAATCTTCTGTAATATTTTCATGGAACAGATCCTTTGAATCTATTTTCCAAATGCAAAATTTTTGGAAGAACCAGTTAACACATAAAGAAAGCCAACCAACCATCTGTCTCATTTTCTTCTGTAAGGAAAAAAATGTGAAAGAGTTCTTCACAAGAATCAGAGAAAAATTTAAAGGTTTAGAAATCTAAAATGCAGAAATACTGGTCGGATAATTAGATATATGAAGCAAGGAGAATATAAACTATGAAAGAAATCAACAGAAGACATTATATGTAGTTCAGGGTTGAATTATGGAGTCCTTGGTGACCTCTGACCTTGGTTGCTTTTTTTGCAGACTCTTCACTACCCAGCTAGGTAACATCAACACTGCTAACACTGATGATGTAACTAGTTGGATAATTAAATTTATGAAACAAATATGTATAAAACTTTTTATGGATCTCTTAACACTCATTTAAATATTGCTTCAATTTTGTGAGCAATGTGAACTTATCAAACATGATCCTTTTTTCTTGGAATAATTCTATTCATCTGAAATGTTGGAGTTATACAAAGTCCTTAAGAAACTACTATTAATAATTAAGCATTTATGGTTTTATTGTTCACCAATAGATTGCTGTTAGTCATATATAATTTTTTTCTGTTGGAATTAATAGTTTTAAGCTTTTAAAATTCAAGATTTCTTTTACGTACATAATACTGGGTATTGTAGAAATATAGACTGTACATTCTACAAATAATTGCATTTTTATTCATATGAAATTAATAAACAAAGAACAATGATACTTCAAGGCACAAATGCAATTGCAAGACTGAGCCAGCTCTATAAAGTTATGTAGAAAAACAGAATATAAATTGAATAAATAAAAAACTGTTACACATTTAGAGATTGCTGCAGGTACATTTTAGAAATACTTCAAATTTTATTTCTTTAAAATGAATACCTGTGCACATTTATAAGTTCCACCACAGTGTGATTGTTGCATTGTAAATTTTTATGAAAGGTTTATATCACACTGTTTCTTTCAGGGATTTATAAATATATATGCCCATTATTAATTTACCAAGAAATAACAGTGATTTAATTCAGTAGCATTTAGTTCAGGTGTAACATATATAATTTCTGCCTTATTCTTAAAATGTGCTATACAGATAGGCCCAGTTTAAGAATGAGATTTGTTCCCAAGTTGAATTTGTATGTAAGCTGGCACAATATTATGTATTAAGTAATATTGTATAATGAATTTGAACCATTGTGTATTTAACTTGAATCACTATGTATTTAACTTCAATTTTGCTACAATAGGCTCTGTTCTTAACTATGGGCTATCCTTATATTGGGATATTCTTAACCTGGGAACTTGCTGTATTACAGTCATAATATACTAAATGTACTAATATTGCAGTCATAATCATGACTTGAAAGACTGCACATAATCTTATTCAGTGTGATTCCTGTAATTACATGTAAGGTAGATTGCTATTGTTTTATGCTCACCAAAACCCAACTAAGGTTAAATAACTAAGGCTACATAACTATGATTGTAAGTCACAATTTAAATTAGACTTAGATCTGTTGGTAGCATAGCAAATACCTGCATGCAGAATGGGCTTATTTCACAGTACATCTAATTTTTCCATATCACAATTTTATTCAGGAAAATTGTGGGTTTTATGTAATACATAAATATTTTTTCTTATTTTTATCTTTACCACCATGTATACCTCTGAATTTGGCCTGCCCTTTAAACAGAACACATTTGAGGGGAATGTAGAAAAAAAAGGAAAATTGGACATGTACTAATAATTTGTTTTCTTCAATATAAATAGATAATAAAATAAATAAAATAAATTGATTTTTAATGCAACAGATGTATGTTGTTATTTTTAAACTGAGTTGAGCAAAGCAACTGCATTTACTCCTTATAGTCTTTTCAAAGTTTACTTTAAACTTGCATGAAAGAGTAACATTTGCTGTTTGTTAGCAAAAAAGCAAAGCTTAACATTTTTTAAAAAAATTACATGATACTACATTAGACATTGACATCATGATATAATTGTACTTTCGAATACTGCTTAGGAGATAACTATGTGAAGTAGAAAATGTTTTGAAGTAATTCCAAGTTAGTGTAGAAACTGCTTGGAATGGTTATCCAGCTAATTTTGATTTTTGTTTGTTTGATTTCCTGGATATGTTGTAACAGTGTTGTTCATCAAAAATTGGTTAGTTCAATGTATTGCAGTTCTCTCTTAACCTTAAAACAAAATACAGTGTTAACTTGGTTTCTAGCTGCTGTTTCTGTGTTCTTCCCTGTAATGTTTCCACCATCCATGTTCTTTCGTAGCCTTCAAGATGTTCAGCAAGGGCAGCAGTCCACAGCCAAAGTCAAAGTCCAGTCACGCCCCCATTCCCAGGCAGCAGTGCTCAGCGCTAGCACCTCCTTGCTGATGAGAAATGGGAGTGTCCAGTTAGAAGCAACACATGACAGTGCATCTGCTGTCGGCAGCAGCAGTTTGCACAATGAACTTGGTATGCAGGCATTACATAACTTAGTGCAATCAAAGTGTTTATTCTGTAGCTTTGTGGCTTATAATGCATTCTACCTAAACTTGCTTAGTCTTGGCTTTATTTCAGACTGTTGAGGCATGTTTCTTACAGCAAATTGCTTCTGGCCTCTCTTCTGCAAGACTTCATATGTTAAATTATTAGCTAGGGTTTTTTTTTTTAAATCACTGATTGAAGATACTGAATTACGTATATTAAAATCCATCAAAATACCATGTCTCAACGTTTTGCATTCGTTTTAAAGATTTTAATTATGCACGGAACTATAATAAATGGCTTTTAGCATTAATATTCAGAATGCAAATGATAGCATTTCAAACTTTGTTATTATAATACACTTTTGTGTTAAATGTTGCCATTGTAAGTTGTTTATGGTCCTCTTTATAGTACTGACACTTGTGATTATTTTGTTGTATTGATCAACATTTCTGAATTCTGTAGTGGAACTTATGTTTGGATATGGAAACTAAACCTAGAGAAGGCATGATACTACTTGTACTTTAATAATTTAGCAAGCCTATTTTTAATTAAAACATAATTACAAATTATCATAGAAATGACTTCCACATCTGTTTCATGTTGGATGATTTAAATTTGTACCAGAGCACAAAATGTGTCACGTGACCTCTGATGATTGCTGAATTATCATCCACAATGTAAAATCCTATTAATATTTTAATCAGGTAGGAAATAATTGTGGCTTGTGTGTGTGTGTGTGTGAAAGCAGTGCTAAATTTAAACACTGATACTTTCAGTAGTGGATGTAAAGGCAGTCTGGCTAGGATGTCTTTGTGCCTTCAGTCACCAAGATTGATTTGTCTGATCTGGCTGGCCAGGTGGTAGTCCTTCTTCCCTCACTGCTCTGTGCGCATTCCTTCCATTCCATTGCCTGCTTGGAAGAAGAGAATACCCATCCCAGATAGGGATGTTCTGTTTTGGAGTTAGGGTATGTGATATATATGATAGCTGTATTCCTCTGGCTATAACATCCAAAATTAGATTTTTGAAAAGAGAGGTTTTTATGTATGACCAGGTTGATCACAACTTATTTAGGTGTTGCAGATGTCTCATTTTGCAGTCTTTTTTCTTCTCTATCGTGTTGCATTAGAATTCAGTAGTGCCATCTCATGATTAACTGGAATAATGTAACTTGATAAAATGTGTTTTTGACGACTTTGAAGAAGGCATACTTAAAATAGCAACTTGCAGATTGCGAAATATGTTTACAAAGCATTAAGTAAATTATACAGTAAATACTATTTTGCTAAAGCTGCAATTCTACTTGTATTTTCCCAAAATTAAGTCTTAAGAAATGTAATTAATTTTATGTGAACGGAAAGACAGTATCTTTGCTGGGAAACAAAACATTGGGATTTTTTTTAAAAGAAATTGGTAACAATAGTAGTCTCTCACTGATTATGCAAAACTCTTTTTGCTGCAAAAAGCAGTCATAAAATGAAATTAATATTTTTTTGTATTCATCCTAAAAATACAGTCCTGGGAAATAAACAGAAGGATCTTGCTGAAATTACTCCCTGGTTGAAAACTAGATTTTAAATTAGGAAACTATGCCTCTCCTTCTTCTCCTTTTGCTGTTTTTTATTACATAGCTTGTGGGAAAATATAAATTTTGCATATGTGCTGCACAATATCCTTTGAATTTCTAAATCATTGACAAGGTTTTAAATGAATTCACATTTGTTTCATAGTAATTCTATATAATCAGGATAATTTTTCCCAGTATATTGGCAAACCTAGTGGACAAAATCAGTTATAAGCTTTTAGACCAATAATTACTTTTTTAATACTTTTTTCAGTTGGTCTGCCCTTTGCATCACCATTTTATTATTGTTCATTTTAGTTTTAATTCTTTAGGTTGCCAGAACAGACATCATTACTAAAGAACCACAATTTGTGAATTCTTACTTTGCATAAATAGCTGGAGCTTCCATATAAATAGTTTATTCAACCAGAAGCAAACAGGAATTGTGCTGATTTTATTTTCTCCAAAGGACAAAATGGAGAATATCTTCTATTAGCATTGTCTTTCCCCAAAAATGTGAGCTTTTGTGTCCTTATTTTTCTGTGGTTTAGTATCCCAGAATTAACTTAGACTACGGTATGCTGATAAATTTGAGAACTTGATGCATTTTTAATGTCATGTTATATGCTGTTTTTTTAAAAATAATTTGTATAAGGAAGAAAAGATCAGGAAAGCTATTGCAAAGATTTGAAGTACCATCTTTTGCTGGAATAATTTTAGGATCATGTCTGTTTTGATGGAGCTCTTAATCTGATGCTATGGCTCTGTCTATTAGAATGTGCTGCTTTATTGGTACCTGCAGCATTTAGTGGTAACTACAGAACGAGAGAATTTTGGAGTTACAGTAATCTTTGAATGTATTACTTTTATATTTATATTTTGGAATGGATGAGCAGATGACTGCTATGATTCAAATGTAGGGAGTTCCTATTTTCTTGTCATCTAGTTCTGTTTCAAGAGTTATACAAGCCTGCTACCTCTGATTAGGATTTTTTTTTCTCAGAGATTTTTGCTCTTTATTGGTAGGACATTTCAGAGTTGTAATTATGGCCTAATAATGTCCTTGGAGTGTTATTGTTTACATGCTGGAAGCTTAAATCAAATCACTTAAAAGTGAGAAGGTAGACATCCGTAGAACCAGAGTGCACAGTTAGCCTCACTGCTTCCATATTTGACACTACAGGAAAGCATATAGAGGGCCTGGTGAAAAATGGTTAACTTATAAGTGATTAAATGTTGGCTTTTGATAATATAAGTGGTTTCTTTTTTTTAAAAAATGCTAACTTATTTCTCTTTGAATCATAGTCACATTATATATTAGATTATAATGTCATCATTTGATACCTCAACTTTAATCCAAGGAGCCATTGCTGTTGCAATCATTAAGTCATTTATGCCAAGAAATGTCAAAATATGGCTAGAATTGAAGCTTCACTGTGTTCAGCAGACTTGATAAACATTTTTCTGTTAGGTAAATGTATATACCTCTAGAACCCTTGTGTCTGTGACCTTCAATTGGGAGAAACAGTGCATTATTGGGCAACTATTTTTGAATCAATATACTTCAAATGGAGTAACTTAAATAGTGCATCAAAATCTGGGATTCATGACTCCTGTAAATTAATATTTGGTTAAGTTGTGGCTGCTTCAGTGTCGCCATGCTGCTGTACCACTGCAGTCAGCCATAGTTGCATGTTAGTCATTTCCAGTGCTCTCTGCCAGCTTTTTACAAGGAAAGTCAATTGGGAATCTGGCAGGAAATCAAAAGTTACTCCCACACTCACTGCTTTTCTGCCTGTCCCTAGTCATTCTGTTTCTCTGTTTAGGTAAGGAAATATATCTGAAACCTTGACCTAATGACTAATGACCCTAAACATTGCAATAAATCTGTCAAGGAATGGCTTGGAGGAAAAAAGGAAAAGAAAAAAGAAATGGAGTAATCTGGAAGGAACAAGTCAAAGTCTGTATCTGCAGCAAATCCCATCAAGACATTGTGGGATAATTTGAAATGGGCTGAAACCCCTCTAACATCACACAGGTGAAAAAAAATCTGCATGGAAGAGTGGGAATAAATTGCAGTGGATGTCAGAGACTGGTAGACAGTTATAAGAAATATCAATTTGAGGTTGTTTCCGCCAAAGGAGGCAAGCACAGATAATCCACACTGTTGAGTCTGGAATTTTGATAGAAAGACTTTGCAGTTGTTAAGTGGATCACCATGTGACCTGATTTTACAACCATTTTTGCTGCAATCGACTGCATTTAAGAGAATCATATGGTTGATAAATGTATTACGTGGCCGTTAAGTGAATCCATTCTCTTAAATGGGTGTTGTTGTTTTTTTACCAAAACCATGTGTGTGTGTGTGCAGCAGTCATAAGTAACTATTTGTGGGTCCATCATAATTACTTCTGGTTGTTTAAGCAAGAACTGCCTGCATTAGAGCAAAGGGTATACTTATCTTTTCCACAGAAGGAGATGGTATATCTGGTTTTTTTGGGGGTTGAATAAATGATTACAAAGTCAGTTTTTCATAGTGTTAAGTTATACCATCTTTGTCTTTATATATTGTTTGAATGAATACAAACAATTGTTTTGTCCATGGGGTATATTTAATTTGTCATATGATTATATACATACTTTAAAGAAATCAAATAAAAAAATTAAATAAATCTACACACTAATAAGGGAAATCTGGATTCCACTCTTAAATTCATTCATATACATTTATATTATTTTTATTGTAACTATAGTGTGTCTTATCTCACTATATTTAAGGAAGTGCCAAGAAGTCATCAAATGCATTATCAGCCAGGTACCAGTGATTTTCAAGTGTTTAGATATCCAAAATGTAGCAGAAACATATATTCCTATTTTTTCTCTATGCCTTAGGTAGTAAAACTAAATTTAGATTTTTTTTTAAATGGTGCTGGATGACGATATTCATTGGGCAAGTCATTCACTCATGGTGTTCTGCAGAGTACCATTTCTTCATCTGTGCTACTTATATCTAAATAAAACCATTAGTGGGAGATCATATGACGTTTTGGAGTGGGAGGGATTCTAAATTGAGGATTATTTGTGTTACATTCCCAAATTGGATGATGTTCTAATCTATTGCTACAAATGTTGAAATTTAATATAGCTTTACCATAGCTTAAATGCATAGTATTGCCATATTTGGAATCTAGAGAGGGATAAAGGAATTAATACTATGAAATTGTTTTGTTCTGTGTTGTATAAATTGCCCTTAAAGGGAGAAGTTTTGAGTAAGTATTGTATTGTAATTTCTCAGCTGGTATTCTTTTCTCAAAGCCAATATGTTTGCTATCTTTATCAATATGAATGAATTACTGGCTTGTTTGACCAAAAAAATCAGAGTCCTTCTTTAAGGGAAATTGGAGATTTAGAAATAGGACAGATAAATAAGACAGACAGACTATAAAATTTTGAGAGCCTGAGTTTGATTTTATTTTTAAAAATCGTTCACAGTTTTGTAACTCTTCTGTCAGGTAATCTGAATTTGATTTTCTGTCAGTGTAAGCAACAGGGCAAAAATGATTTGTATCTACAAATGATAAGCCTGTGTAATTGGTATGGGCTAAACTAGTTGGAAAGCTGATGTAAAGTCAGTTATACAAATTATTATTTTTCTATTTCTTCATTCATATAATAGAGTTGTTATAACATTCCTAGTTATGTTGATATACAGCATGTACTTTCTAGCTGGTGGAATGCTTGCAACAGAATACTAGCTTGCAATCTCTAATTTAGAAACTCTATCTTGCATATATGGTAATAGCGTGAACATGCTTAGGATAAAACTGGACTTCAACAGCACCTATGGCAGATTGACAAAAATGAACTGAAAAAAATCCTGTCCTTACTATTAACAGAAGATGCTGCTCATGGCATGTTTGCAATTAAAGCTGGTAACCACTTCTACACTTTTTTTCTTACTAAACAAATTTATGATAGATTTAAACTTGAAATGTAAGAGAGATATCTACTTTATTAAAAAGTGTGAATTACCAAATAAAAGAAAAATATTTACATTGTACATCCATGAAAAATAAGAGAAAGGATAAGAGTGTAATAAATAAAGGTGTTTGATATTATGGATTTGGAGTTTAGGAATATATGCAATGAAGTGAAGGCCTACATTGGATTATAAATTATGACAGTGATCAGCAGGAAAGAAATAAGTTGAATTAGTTTGCTTATATAGGTTAAATGAATTCAAAATAAATATGTGAAGGAAGAATGAATTGCTTGAGAGGAAAGGGAACTCCAAAATAAGCATGGTTGGATAGAATTGATGAGATTTTGAGAAAGAGAGAGATTAGAAGTTTAAAGAATTGAAAGCAATATATGAGTCTATGTAAGGATGCAGTAGAAGATCAATGTTTTCCAAGGCTAGAAAAGTATGGAGAAATATAGACAATGTTACATTTATGAAATAATTTTATTCTACTTTATTTTTCTTTCTTTTTTAATCTCATATCTTTAATTTTTTGGTTTACGATTTATTAAACTTTTTATGGATTTTGCATTTCTTGAACAGGAAGAACATGATAGACGTGCATGTTTGTATATACTTGTTCTGTATTGAAACCAAACTATGGTGACCAATGGATTTCTTCTATAGAGAGGTTTAATGGAGACTATGACTCCTTCATTCCCTGTTTCAGACAATGAAATGGGCATTTTCAAAGGAACTATGCATATTATAAAACAAAAATGCACATCATCTATTTGCTCAAAAGTTGTAGTGAACTGTGTACAAGTGTACAGCATGTCATTAGCTATACTTGAAGAGTGGAGTCTTTTTGTTCTTCTACATTTTTCTATTTTATTACTTTTTAATTTAATTGTGTCATTGTTTTCTTATTTTAGTAACCGTAGAATTCCACTCTATTGAGATGCAGAGTTTTATCTCCCTCTGCTGATAAAAAGGAAGCATTGCTAATTCTTTAAATCTGTGGTTTGATTGATTTGGTTTGGTTCAGAAGACAGAAGAATAAATGGAACCAGAATGAATAAGACATGTCTTTTTAGGGGTTTGGTTAGATCTTAAAGGCTAAAATGCAGAAATATAATGTACTGTGTTCCTTAAAAAACAAATAATCATGAAAACGTGTGATTTTCACCAGCTTTAATCAGATTTTTAAGTGATGCAGTGATCTTGGGCCTTTACAATTCACTCTTTAAAATTCTACAAAATCCTCAAATTGTAAAAAAAAAAGCATGCATCAAAAAGGTGTGCAATTTTTCATTTTTCTATGTCATATAATAATTTAAAAATTCCAGTGTGTGATATTTTCATACACACATAAACACAGAGTTAGCAAATACAAAGATTTAGTCCATTTTATTTACAATAGTTAGGAACTTAAAATCAAGCATTTGTCTTTACATCTATCCTTTATTCCTTTATTATCTGTGTTAGGAACCATTTAGTAACTGTTTCTATCAGTGGCTAATAATCATGGGTTGCTAATATATAGTTTTAATGGAAGCAGACTTTCCATGTTTTCATCAGGCAATAGAATTATCATGACAGCAAATTACATACATTGGCATAATTTCAAAGAAGCATTTGCTTCTGTCTGTTTTAAGCGTATTGCCAATTAATTTCACTGAATGGTCTTACATTCAAATATTATACAAGACAAATTCTTCCCCTTTCGTTTATTTAATTATTTAACTATTTTTTTGCAAATACATAGATCCAATTTATTAGCTTTCTCCTACAGGAAAGATAGTCTTACTGCTGTAGGAATTGGTAAGCCAAATAAGTTGATTTTTAAAAAAAAAATAAAAAATCCCATTGTAGATATTTTAATTGTCTTGATGTTGTGTTTTTAATGTTTGTGTTAACAATCTAAGCCAAATAAGGATGATGAAAAATGGGTATATACATTAGCCAGCTTCATAAATGGCCATGTGTTAATCTCTAATCCTGATTTTGGGGATCTTTCTTATTGATTTTTCTTACGATTTTTAAATTAGGGTGTATGTTTGTAGATAATAATATATTTGTTACTACAGTGTTCAAAAATTTCATAATATTTAATCTATCTTGACTTTCTCTTCAATAGGTAAGTTCAGTTCAACACTCTATGAAACGGGGGGCTGCGATATGTCGCTTGTGAATTTTGAGCCAGCTGCAAGAAGAACATCTAACATCTGGTGTGTTTTTAAAAGTAATTGCTGTAGTTTATGCAGTAATACTAATTTTATTTATAAATGGATAATATTTGTAGGATTGCATTTTGATACTAAAAGCAAATGTGCATCAAAAAGAAAGAAAAAAAGTCATCACTGGGTTATGGCTCAATTAGACATTCTGCCAAAATCAAACATTTGTTTCAATATAATGTGTGTTTGTGTATATGAGCATATTGGGGTAATGTTCTATTTTCTAAAACAGAAAACCGAATTGAATTGGAAAACAGACTAAGGTATCAAACTAAACTTGTCTTCTTGTTTCAGTGATACGGATTCTCATGTCTCAAGTTCTACCTCAGTTCGTTTTTATCCACATGATTTAGTAAGTTTTTGCATTTGCTACTATTTGTTGCAAACAAATAATCATTATCTATCTATCTATCTATCTATCTATCTATCTATCTATCTATCATTTTATATTCTAAACTTAGCTGGTCCAATTAAATTCAGGCTGACCACCTGAAATGTATGGTTCAAATGGTCAGCAGCTGGACATTACAGATAGTCCTCAACTAAGAATCACAATTGAGCCAACATTTCTGTTGCTAAGTGAGACATTTGTTAAGTGAATTTTGTCCCATTTTATGACCTTTCTTTGCCACATTATTTAAGTGAATCACTGCAGTTGTTAAGTTAGACACGGTTGTTAAGTGAATCTGGCTTGCCCATTGACTTTGCTTGTCAGAAGGTCACATGACCCTGGGACACTGCACACGTCATAAATATGAATCAGTTGCCACGCATCTGAATTTTGATCACGTGACATGGGGATGCTGCAATGGTTGTAAATGTGAAAAACGTCACTTTTTTCAGTATTGTTGTATATTTGAATGGTCACTGTTTTAAGTCAAGGACTACCTTTACAGTTGCGGATAACTAGAATGACATAGCTGCTTTAATATATTAGGGCTAATATGTATAAATGCCTTATTGATATGCAATCCAATCATATGCCTTGTTCAGCAGTCCTAGTCTCATCCTTTGATATAGCATTAAATATCCCTGTAGCTTGGTGTGCAGGTATGCTATCTCTGCTATTTTACTTAACGTTGGAAAAGATCTGTATTTCTTTGTTGAAGACAGTTAGCCAATCCTGATATCCTGTGGCATAGCCATAGTGTTTTTGAGTAATGGTCTTAAGCAACTGTCATTCATATAACTCTTCCAGAGATAACTCTCTCCCCAGTACTTGTAGAGCCTTATACAGATGGTGGGTAATCAAGTAGTCATCACCTAGCAGGATTTCTCTCCTAACATTTATATTCTTTCAAAATAGGACTAAAGAAGTAAAATATGAAAGCAAAATCTTATTAATGTTATTGTAGCTTTCCCTCCCTCAGATCAGACTGAACAGACTGTTGACCATAGATACCGATCTTCTGGAGCATCAAGACATGGACCTGAGTCCTGATCTGCAGGACCATCTACAACAACAAGAGGAGCCATCGCAAAAAGTGAAACATTATTATCGCTTTTGGATCCTACCCAAAGTCTGGATTGGCATCAATTTTGATAGATTGACTCTTTTGGCTTTGTTTGACAGGTAAGTCCTGTATGCATTATACTATTCTAACATAGAATGTGTTTAGATTATTAGTCTGCTTGGGGAAAAAATCCAAAGATTCTAGAAGTATCAAAGCATTAAGGAGCAAAATTGCCGAAAAAATAGTTGACTGAAAACCGAGCAAGGTCATAATCATAAAATAGTTACTATTGAATAGAAAAGAAATCTAGAAAAGCAAAGAGGAAGTGATTATCTCTTCTTGTTGAGATTTGGACTGCCAGATAATTTGATTAAATGATGGATTGAATGATGATCCGCTTTGGATCTATTTAATAGAATAGATTTCAAGTGAAAATGTAGTTGATTATATTTCAAAATCAAAAATAAGCAAATATGTCTTCTGAACATGGATAATAATAGTTATTTTATTTGTTCTGCTTTCTTGCATTCTTTGTTGAAGCATTTCACTAACACATCTCTTTGCCCATAGGAATCGTGAGATCTTGGAAAATGTATTAGCTGTCATCCTAGCTATCCAAGTGGCTTTTCTAGGTTCTATACTCCTTATAGAAGGCTTCTTCAAGGACATCTGGGTCTTCCAATTTTGTTTGGTGATTGCCAGTTGCCAGTACTCTTTGCTGAAGGTAATGTTTTATCCTCACTGTTGCTTAGTTTGAAATTATTAACGTTGTCTACTCTGTGAGTTAATATACAGTATTTTCAAAAGATGTCCCTGTTTTATACCTTATTTTTGAATAATGACATTAAAAGAGCATCTTGAAGGGGAATATGGAATAATATTTTCCAACATGTGAACAAATCTTTTCAGTCTTCATATTCCTCTCAGTTCCTTTTTTTTATGCCAGAGAAGGAGATTGAAATAAATTAATTTTGCATTTAATTGTAAACCTGCCATAGTTCAGAAGTTTGCATAAACTATGGTTTATAGAACAAGTGTGGATTTCAAAATATATTTTATTGGATTGGATTGGATTGGATTCTGGCTTGTTCTTATGATTAAGAAGCCACTAATCCTCTTATTTAGATGTCACAGGAAATATTAATGTATGTGGATGTAGTATCTTGTCAGACAGACAATGATAAACACTTGGGAATATTATTAATTCTGCAATTTTTTATTTTTTATTTTGAAGTGAGATTTATAAAACTTGCAATCTTACAAATTGTTAAAAACCACATTAGATAATATTTAAAAAAAAATCCTGAAGTTTTCTGAATAATTCAAAAACTCACTCACAATTTGAGGTATTTGGATTGTTCCAAATGACGCTATTCCTTGATTGTGAATTTGGAATTTTTTTCCTAGGGAGCAGCAGTTTTCCTTTCTGTGGTAACCCACACAGAAAAACAGTTTATTCTTCCTATTGTTCATTAGGCTTTTTTGTATATTTCTGAGTTCTTCATGTCACATTATGAGATTTTATAGAAATGGATTATACATCGATACAGAATGTCCAAGGCAGATTTTCCTGGTCTCCTACAATCTGCAGGAGAAACGGGAAAACAAGCTACATCATATACCTTGGGAGACTGTTAAATGGCCATTTCCCCCACCAAAAATGGTCTTAAGAGATTTGTTTCTCTTTTGTTGCAATTAGACATATCTAAACTATGATAGACTTTTTAGTTCCCGTCAACTCTGGTTAATATTTGAGAAATATTTTTTCACAATTGAAAAATACTGTCCTGAAAGTTTAATGTGTCCAGGGAAGTCTTTTTAAATACCATTTGTGCAGATGATTATCTTAGGAGATACCAAACCAACAGTAACATTTTTCTACTATCTTTGCACTTTTTCAGAGTGTTCAGCCAGATTCTTCATCACCTCGACATGTAAGTTTCCCCATCTGATCTTTATGTAGACTGATAAATCAAAAATTGCTGCATCTATTGCTGTTGTTTCAAAAATATTGCCATTAAGGAGAAATTGTGCTTTAAAAACATTGATAGTTTTTTAAAAAAATCTATACAATATATCATATATTTACAAATGGCCAATATGCAGTTCAAAATGTACTTATTAAATCCACTAAAAATGAAGATAATGTTCTAAATAGAAAGTTTTTGAAGTGTTAACCACAGAACATAGAAAAACAATACACATACACAGCAATATTTATTTTAATGGTGCCTGATAGGAATTCAGGAGTCACAAAAGAGTTAAGGTAATTTCTATTACTTTAGTAGAAGCTGCAAAAAAAATATCTAATGATAGCAGAAAATAAGCTGCTGTTTAGAACTGAAAATTAATGCTACTTGAATCTTTGTTACTTGCTAGGAGTATGAAGCTGAGGTAATTGATGTAGAATTAAAATAATATTGTGCAATGTCTTATTGGAGTGTGTGTGTGGGGGGGAAACCCCTATTCCTTCATCTAGAAAAAGGCATAAGCTCTGTCTTCAGTGAAATTACCATGCGAAATGAAAAGTTTCAGAATTGACTTTTGAAGGAAGGAGCAATAATTTACAACTTAAGCTTCAGTACTCAAACTTGTATTCCAGGGTCATAACCGAATCATAGCCTACAGCAGGCCTGTTTACTTCTGTATATGCTGCAGTCTCATTTGGCTATTGGACTACGGCAGCAAGAGCACTTTTACTGCACGGTTCCAACTATATGGAATGGCTTTCACGAATCCAATATTGCTGCTTTCAGCAAGGGACTTGATTATGGGTGAGTGATATTTTCTATTTGGTGCATTTAGGTAAAGGCTGGAAAACCTGTAGCCTTCCAGATGCCGTTGAACCAAAAATGCAGCAATCCCAGGTAGCAACATCTGGAAGTTGCTAGTTTCTCCCAATCCCTGATGTATGGATTACTTTGTCATCTTTGCTCTGTTGTACCTAATTGTTCTATTTTAGTCTCTCCCTTTCTGTCTCTCTCTTTAAAAAAGATGAAGTGTTTTGATACACCAATCCCAAGAAGGTCCTTGAACAAAGATTTTAAGCGAATATACAGGATTTATATGCTAGAGAATATAATCAAGACATAGTGGGAAAATAGTACATGTAGTCCTTTTTAAGTGACTATCTTGCTTAGTGACCATTCACAGTTATGACAGTATTGAAAAAGTTCCTTTGCAACCAATCCTTGCATTTACAATCTTCTCAGGTCTGAAAAGGAAAGGAAAGCTGAAGTAGGATCATAACCACAGTCACAGTTTCATTTAGTGATCACTAAATATATTTACCAATCAAATTGCCAGTCCCAGTTTTGGTTGCTAAATGAGGACTATCCATAGAAGAAAACAAATGTCTCTCTATATCCTTCCATCATTTTATTATGCCAAAAGTATTCCTAGTATCCCTCCAATGTATTAGGAGATGTATCTTTCAATTCATGTGCTGCAATCATCTCTTTTAGCCTGTGTTGTGGATATTTTTTAAAAAAATACATTGGTCTCTGAACACGAATGTCTGATGATATGTGATGCAACTGTGTGGTCAGGACCAAAAATGTTCAACTCATTTGTTTGCTTTGTTGATTTTTGTATTGGGAATTAGAGGAATTTAAAGGTGAAGTATATTACCTTTAGTTTAGAGACGTTTAACACAGATATTGCCATTGTTATTTTTGTTAAACGCTGTAAAAAATGCACACCACCAAAAAATTGTCCATTTATATGACCAGATTTCAGCAATGCTGAAGAGATTGCTGTCACTAAGCTTTATAACCACATCATTTGACAAAGGACATGCTGGTCCCAATTGCTGTTGTAAGTTGAGGATCCAGGGCTTTTTTTTGTCATAGAACGCCCAGAACCGAGTTCCAGCACCTTTTTTTTTTTTTTTAACAAAAAAAAGCACTGGGACTATCTATACACACCAGTCATATACTTTTCTTCACCTAGCTTACGTCCTTATAACCATCTCAATCTGTTTTATCTCAGACCTCCATAGTACCTTTCTGTTGAACATGTTAATTTGAAGAATAAAAAACAAGAAAGACTTAGCTTGTGCTTGTCTCATTCTTTCTCATATACATATAAACAACAACCATACAAGATGCACAAGAGCTTCTGTGAAGCTACTTTTGAAGGAAATAAAGTAGCTGCTATGGCATGTACTGCTGAATTTGTGAAGTTAAAAAAAGTTTTAGAGAGAAGCAATATGTGTGGTTAAAAAAAGGTTTTGGAGAGAAGCAATACATTTTTGAGTCATAGGATTCAGTGTAGTATATATAAATCTTAATGTATTGCTAGTTTTTCTTAATTGTTCAATAATTAATTTCAGATATTTTGCTGTTTTATACAGTATCCTGCACTTAAACAAATGAGTTTTATAAATATAGACTCTTGTGATTATTATGTAGTTAAAACAAGTCTGATAATAGTGTCTGTTTCCTGCCATATGCATATAAGTGCTTGTATTCTACTAAAAATGAAATTCAACAGCTACTTGAAGTAATTCTTCCTCCAAAGTAAAGAGAACATTTATTCACCATAGTTCAGTGTGGAGAATTAGTCAGCAGTTCTTCATGTACTTACTATTTTTTATCATTTTTGTCTCCTATAGTGTTTATACTATGCTTCCCTATAGTATTCTTCATTGGTCTTCTGCCTCAGGTGAACACTTTTGTGATGTACCTCTGTGAACAATTAGATATTCATGTCTTTGGTGGCAATGGTGAGTAAAACGGTTTTATTTCATGAAATATAATCAGTAGAAAACTTTTCAGTGTGTTTCTAAAAATAATTTTAATGCTTATCCAAACTGTCAGTATTAAGTGTATTACAAGTTTAACCTTTCCAAATTATAGGTTGTCTTCGACTTAACAACATTTCCATTGTTAACCAATGTACTCATAAAGTGGGTTGTCACATACTCAGTGCGGCATTCCTGACAATTCCCCTTGTCATCAGTAAATACATTTTAGCAGTTGTTAGCTGAGCACCCACCCCATTCCGAGCCATTCTAGGCTTGGTCCCTCCCACCCCCAAACCTTAGAAAGGTAAGCCCACTCCCACCTGCCTATATCCCTTCCCCCATCTCTGCCTTTTGACTGTCCTGCCCCATGCCTTGCAAGGCAACGGGCAGTCCCAGCATTGTGTGGCTCTAGGGTTGCTTGCCATGCACCTGGAAGCAGCAGCCATCCCAAACCAAGCCACGGTCATCGTTGCCATCCTGCATTCTAAGAGCCCTGCTGCCCAGCTTAACTTTTTGATTCTTGCAGCTGCTGTTAATGAGGTGTTCCTGTCCTGTCCTTTTGCACCAAGAAACCCCATTGGCAAAAGCGCTCCAGCAAAAGCATATCCCTTTGCAAGCAGCTTCTCCAGTAACCAGCTTAGTGAAAAGAGGCAATTATTATTATAAATGCCCTTTTGTGCAAAGCCAACAAGAGCATTCTGACAAGAGCATTCCTTCTCCAGGAAACAATTCCTACCTGTGGCTTCCTGAGTCAGGCTTTATCCCATTGGACAAAACTGTTTCTCACTGTTTTCAACATGTTTGTAACTTCAAATGGTTGCTTAACAAGTGGTTGTAAGTCAGGACTACCTGTATCTGTCTGCCTAAGTACTCCTACAAGGCAGTGGCTTGATAATCAAATAGTTATGTACTGATTTATATAAGCAAACATAATTTTAAGCATATTTCAATATAATATAGGAGTGTAGGAAGCAATTCATGGTTTTATGCATTTTTATTCATAATGATTTTTTCTCTCTACAGTACTCAGTTGCAAAAAAAATGCATACCACAACATATCAATTGAAATATAAAAGTAGACGATGGACTGCTGCAAGTTAGGAAAGTTGAGGATGAAATGCATGAGTCTAGGGTTCACTTGAATTTTGCTGCTCTATGCCAAACTTTGTTTTGGTATTTTGTGTGTGTCTGTCTGTCTGTCTGTCTGTCTGTCTGTCTGTCTGTGTGAGTGTGTGTGAGAGAGAGAGAGAGAGCATGCATGCATGCGTGTCTGCAGACACGCATGCACATACACACTTTCAAGTCACTTTTGACTCTAGGCATTGCCAGTCCCTATACTTTTCTTCGCAAAATATTTGGAAGTGGTTTGCCATTTCCTTCTTCCTAGGATTAAAAGAGAGTGACTCCCAAAGTCACGCAACTGGCTTTGTGTCTAAGGCAGGGCTAGAACTCACAGTATCCTGGTTTCTAGCTTGTGTCTTAACCACTGCATCAACCTAGTTCTCTTTTGCTTTTATGTTATGTTAGTTACATGGTTGTTAAGTGAATCTGGCTTTTCCATTGACTTTGTCCGAAGGTTGTAAAAGATGATCCCATGATCCTGGGACATGGCAACTGTCATAAATATGAGTCAGTTGTCAAGCATCTGAATTTTGACCACTTGACCATGGGGATGCTGCAATGGTCATACGTGTGAAAAATGGTTTTAAAAATTATTTTAATGCTGTTGTAACTTTGAATGGTTACTAAATGAACTGTTGTAAGTCGAGGAGTACCTGTATATTATTTGAAAAGTAGCAATAATTTATTTTTGATCATTAAGAAGATGTGAAAAAATATTTCCTGAAAGTGAATTTATTTAAATTCTTTATACCCAAAGATACAACTAAAACAAACTTCAAAATAATAAATGCTTAATTTTTTACATCAAGGTTCATTTTACTAATTTTTTTATTATTCTTCGTTATTGTATTATATCTAGCCACGACGAGCCTCATTGCAGCACTCTACAGTTTTATCTGTAGTATTGTGGCAGTAGCATTATTATATGGATTGTGTTATGGGGCCCTAAAGGTGAGTAGTAGCATCAGTGCTATATTTTTATATAGTACAGTTAGATTTAAAATTGTTATATTCTGGTTTTTTTTTAATGGATAAATGCAGTTATCATTTGACTTCATGGTTTTATATTGTACAAGGACATAAGATCCTTTTTTTCATACAATACAGAAACCCAGGGATCTTCCAATAACATTAATTTGAAATAACTTCAAGATGCATACAAAAGTCCCGCATCTTTATACAAGAAAATATATTTAAAATATTTGTTGATATTAGGTGTAATGTAAGGAATGTAAGGTAAGGACGTTAGGCAAATTCAGTGTGATAGTATTATTATTTTATAATACTGTAATACAAAGAATACAACACTATCAAGAAAAAAATATAATAACAGTTTATAGTGAGAAACGAATCTCTCTTTTTCTCAATCCATATTATGATTATTACGATAAATTAAACTTTGCAAAAAAAGAAGTAAAAAAGCTACATAGAGAATTAATTTAGCCCGTAAGCTGCTAAATTTGTTAAGCAATACCCCAATCAAGAAACTGCCACAGAGCCATTAGTAAACAGCCCAAACAAAGAATCCTTAAGACCGCCCCCATCCAACCAGACAGGCAAGACACCAGAATACAAACTGACAGCAAACGGCACTCCTTACTAGCACTGATGAGGTTACCTAGTTAGGGTAATGAAATGTCTGCAAGAAAACAAGCAAGCTCAGAGAGCACCAAGGACCCCTCATTTCAACCCTGAGTTACAAATATTCTCCTTCATTAGTTCTCATTTATTTTTCCCAGGGAATTATAATGCTTCCAGATACTTTCTGATCTTTATATTGAGTAATGTGTACCTTGTTTCAGAGCTCTCAGTTGGAATTCTATGACTCCTGAATACTGGAATTGGATTATTTTATGGTTACATTTCATTATCCCAAAGGTGCTTTTTCCAAAAGGCAACTGGAATTCTGGGTTTTTGCTTTGAAAACATTTTGCTTCTCATTCAAGATGCTTCTTTAGTTCCCCACCAGCTAGTTAGAACTTGAAGAAGCTTCTAGGATGTGAAGCGAAGCATTTAAAAAACAAAACAAAACAAAGAAACTTGCCTTTTGGAAAAAGCCCTTTTCGAATAACTATAACTGGATGATTGAGAATCTCCATAGACATTTACATTTCATTACTTTTCTTTGTATAAATCAAAAAGCAGGTTTAAAATAATCCCCAAACCAAATAAACTTGTGGTTTAACCAACTATGCAAATGATATGATTATTAATTTTTGAATACAGAATTTCTAACAAGTTAAAAATAAAAATGATCTTTTACACTATAATTTGATGTAATCATTCTGATAAAGGAATACGTATTTGTCTACAGGATTCTTGGGATGGTCAACATATTCCAGTGCTTTTCTCAGTATTCTGTGGTACATTAGTGGCAATTTCCTATCATCTCAGCCGACAAAGTAGTGATCCTTCTGTCCTTTTGTAAGTGATGCATCCTGTTTCTATAATTACATCAATTTTGTTCCTCAAATTGAGAAATACTAGAAGAAATTAACTTTTTAAAAGCCTAATGCTGTTTCACCTTAACTCACTTGGAACTAGTAGTAAATAGATATAGGATTGCAATTGTAGCTCTTTGCTGCATTGAAATTTCTTCCTTAAAAGTGCCAAGTTACTCTGATTACTGCCATAGACTATGATGATTCTGAAGCATTTGTATATGTCTAGATGCAATAGTCACTTCCCAGTTGGATTATTGCAATGCGCAATAATGGGGCTGCCCTTGAAGATCACTTGCAAGTTGATAGTCCAAAATGCAGCAGGGCGCACAATATTGGGGTTTGCCCATATTGCATCTTTATTGCATGAACTGCACGCCTCTCAGTTTCCTTCCAGGTGCTTGTTATCACCTTTAAAGCCCTATATGGTACAGGTTATTTGTGGGACTACATCTCCAAAAGAATATTTGCCTATCCCACTAGATCAGATAGGGTAGGCACGCTCCCAGTCCCTTCCCTGAAATCTTGTCATCTAGTGGGACCTTGGAAGCGTGCCTTTTCTGTGATTGCTCCTACCTTGTGGAACACCTTCCCCTCAGCAATTTGATGGGTGCCCACCCTTTTGGCCTTTCAGGAGACTTTAAGACCTGGCATTTTATCAAGGTGCTGAGATAGGATTGTACTATTGTTAGGCACAACCAGCCAACCCACTTTTGAAGAGTTCAGTTAGCTATTTTATTGCTAATCCTATACACAGGAATTTTCTCAGAATAGAGGTTTGCACCTAGGTGAGACTAGATAAAGTTCAATGGCATTCAAGGAAGGGTTGGATTTTGCCCTCTTGTGCCCACATAGAGATTCTAGAATAAGTCCCTGTTTGACTCCTCTCCCTGGCTTGGCCAGTCCCTCCTAAAACTGTATAGATAGATAGTTTGAAATACGGACCACATAGTTTGAAATATGGACCACTGGAGCCTACCTATCCTAAGGAGATGATTAAGGCACAGAATTTTTGTTTTATTGCTTTACTGTTTTTATGATTATTTTCTGTGATAAAGCAATCTTTTATCTTGGTTTTACAGTTGTTATGAGCTGCCCAGGGCAGTGATATAAATGATATAAAATGGGCAGTGATATAAATCTTCTGAATAAATAAATTTAAGATGCACCCAGAGCTTCGTAGGAATTATTTGCATAATAACAGTCAGCTAAAAATTACACAAAGTACTTTAAATTACTTACAGATATGTTTGAAATATTGAACTGAAGCATTTCTGATGATATCTAAAAGATAAATGTGTAATAGTTAAATAGTAACATTCATTTACATTTTCAAGTTTCAACTGTTTCAGTGAAGCTATGAATGATTGGCACCTTGCTGTAGAGCACGGGTGTCAAACTCACTGCGTCACGTGACGTGTCGCGACGTATCACGACTTTTTTTGCATTGCCGGAGCTGGGGTGGGCGTGGCCTCCGCATGATGCAACCGGCCCACAGGCCAGCAGTTTGACACCCCTGCTGTAGAGGATATATAGAAGCAATTTATAACATTTTATCTCATGATCTACAGCATTGTAAAGACATAGTTTGTTTTATCAGAAAATGAAGACTCATTTTCCTTTAAACTGGAAGGAATGCTTTAGATTTGCTTAGAATACAGTAATGGATAATGCATTTTCTGTAAAGACTTTGTTTAAAACAAGTATTTACTTTAGTTCTTTAGTGCAATCAAAGCTTTTTCCGACTTCAGAAGATAAAAACCCAGAAGATCCACTATCTGAAGTCAAAGACCCCTTACCTGAAAAGCTTAGAAACTCAGTGGTAAGTTGGAACGTAGTTTAAATTATTAATAATTCTCACAGGTTTGCTATCATGAGTACTAAATATTGAGCTAAATAGTTGACATATTTCTGGGATGTTTAGGAATAATCACCATCTGAGTCATAATCCAATGCTTATCGATGTTTCAATGTTGTATACAGTTATATTTCCAGTAATATGAACACCACTAGTATCTGCTGTAAATAAGCCAAATCTGTAGTATAAGAGACAGTTTAATAAGTTTCATGAACAGAGGAAACTTTCAGAACTATTAATACTGATCATTGCTCATCTGGGATTTGTAGGAGATACTGTCCAGAACATTAGGAACACAGTAGCTCATGTTAGGACACCAGGTTGGAGGTTAGCAACATCCGCATTCGAGACCCAAAGTGCTGCTGCGTGGCAGGATGAGCTCCTGTCTTCCACTCCAGCTCCTTGACGGGACATAAAAGGAACCCCCACGGACATCCCCAGGCAATGGGGATGTCATCCTTTCAATCCAAAAGCACTTTAAACGGTGCGACACAAACGGGATGGGGAGTGCAGAACATTTGGAGAACATCCCAATGTGCATGTTCCATGTCTACAGCTCTATGAAAAGAGTATTTGATTATGTCAGAATATCTAAGTATTTGTATATCTTTACCACCAAATCCGAACTGGAACTTTTTAGGCTGTATGGGTTTTATTATACTCACATTATATTTATTATATTAAATCAAACAATACATTCTGCTGTAAGAACTTTGTACCACTAGTCAAGTATGGAGCTGGTAGTGCCATGGCTTGGGGACGCTTTGCTTCCTCAGGACCTGAACGACTTACCATTGATGAAGAAGCGTGAATTCTGATCCTGTTAGTGAATTCTGCAGAGAATATGAGATCATCTGTCTGCCAGCTGAAACTGAAGTAAAGCACAAATAGATCATACAAAAAGTCAGTGATTCCAACTATACAAGGAAATCTATAAAATAATGGAGAAAGAACAAACTCAGTGTCAAAGGACTGATATAAATCTCATTGAAGTATTATGTGGAACCTGAAGTAAGCAATTAATGCAAGAAAACCCACAAATGCCATTCAATTGAAGCCATTCACCATGGTGGAATGGGCCAGAATGCCTATCTATTAATACAGGGGTCTTCAAACATGGCCCTTTTATGACTTGTGGACTTCAACTCCCAGAATTCCAGGCACACTGGCTGAGGAATTCTGGGAGTTGAAGTCCACAAGTCATAAAAGGGCCAAGTTTGAAGACCCCTGTATTAATATGAGAAGCTAACCACCAGTTTCAGAGAATGTTTGGTTGCAGTGGTTGTAGCTAAAGATAATGAAAACAATTACTGAATCTACTGAATCATGGACACATTTATTATTGGATTACTTTGCTTGTGAAATAAATTAAACAAGCACCACTGATGTTACTTAATCTCTATATATCTTGCTGTAAATACAAATACAGTATAAGAGTCACATGATGCCAAAGATATATATACAACTTAGGTATTTAAATGACTTGTTCAGACTGTGCTAACATTTATGATACTCTGTTATAACAATTGTTTAAAAAAATAATCTCTGTACAGCTTGGCAAGTTGTCTGGTACCTAAACCCAAATTCCACAAATATGTCAATAAAAACTGGGGGAGGGGGGGAGTATGTTTTGAGACTATAAATATTAATTACATTGCTATATTCTGAAACTCTCTTCAAAATAACTATGTGAGTAATAAAAATGTGGAAGTTGACATG